GGAGGGACGCGTGGCCAGACCTTCTCGGGTGTCAGCTCTGCTAGGATGGAGGAGAGGGCCAAGAGCAAGGCGAGGGGCCGGGGTGGGGGGACAGTGCTGGCTGCCAGAGGCCAACGTGCTGCTGCTCTGTTCTTTGTCACCGGGACAAAGTACTGTCACCCTGTTCTGCTTTCAATTCACGAGGAGAGCGCGTCTTACTCAAATAAACGTTTTCCCTTGAGGAAACAACAGCTTTAAAAGAAAGGGGGGAAATTTTTCTTTTTGGGTAAATGGCAAATGAGTGTGTTGTTTTGCAAACCCCCACGCCCCACCTGACCTCCCCCCACCCCCACTTCCCTCTTCCCCTCCCCGTCTTCATTTCTCAGAGCTGCTCAGAGCCAGGAGGTCTGAGCTGTATAGGCTCCGAGCCATCCAGTGACAGGGGCCCCAGAGACAGAGAGGTAGGAGGGCGGGAAGTGCATGCCGTGTGGCGTCTTGCGGACAGCCTTCCAGAGCTCATGGGACAGGAATGAAGTCTCCTGTGGTCAGCAGTGACCCGGAAACATGGGTCTGAGCACAGCTTTGGGGAGAACCAAGTTGTCCCTCTCACCTCGGTGGCTGGGAACTCTCGCTGCCCCTCAGCAGCACATGGATATGGAAACTGGTCTGTCCCAGATCAGCCTGGAGCTACAGCCCTGACCCTGGGTCAGTCCCTCAGGCTCCAGAACTAGTGTTTAGAGGGAGGGCCTCCCCCCGGGCACGGAGCCACAGCACGCTGGATGAAGGGGGCTCGGGACAGGCCCAGAGGAGAGGCTGCACCCTTTGCTGGATGCTGGAGAGCCAGGTCTGCCCATCACCCTCCGCTCTGGCCTCCCTGCAGCCATGGCCTTCCAGGGTAGGGATGCCCATTATGGAGGGGCAGGGGTCAGGAGCAGCCACGGCCCACACAGGCCTGGGATCCATGTCCCTGGGTGCCCTGCTGTCTGCCCCACACTCTGATTTCTTCAAGCCAGAGAGGTTAGTCCAACCTGTGGTGTATGAGGAGGTATCGGAAGGAGGCAGCACTGTAACAGCTCGGGGGACAGGGAGGGAGGCCTGGGAGGGGGTGGAGGCTGGACACTCATGCAAAAGGTGACTCAGTCCATTTTCCAGGGTGAAATGAAGCCTGCCAGGTCACGAAGCCCATTCTCTAATCTCGTAAGCACATTGCATGACCCTCCTCCGAGGGATGCACTGGCCACAGTTTGTCCAACGGGCTCCAAGCCAGGACCCGGCGCCCTGGGAAGAATGAGCCTGGCACGGACACAGTGACCCAGCCCCGCAGTGGCACTAAACATTAAAGATGCAACTGTGTGCGTGCAAGTGGGCGAAGGGTGATCCCAGCGTGCCTGTGGGGCCCCGAGGGGGGCGCGCCTGGTGCCCGCGGGTGCGCACACCCTGACGGGGCTACGGTGGGAAAAAGGCCCTCCGTTCCTGAAGGGAGGAGGGTAACAGCGCGGTCAGGAACAGGAAGCCAGGCTAGCCGCACAAACATGCCACCTCAGCTCCAAACACTTTTTTCTAAAATAACTGGACCTCTCCAAGTATTTACAAAGACAACAAAACCCCCACCCACGTGAATGCCCCAACTGCTGGCGTCCTCACCTTGGCTAGCTGCTGGCCGGGCCCTGCTCCCTGGCCCGACACTCTCCTATACCTACCCTGAGTTTTGGGGGACCCCTGGGAAGAAGAACCAGATTTCCTGTGGAACACCCCCCACCCCAGGGCCTCTCCTCCCCCCTCTCTCTGTCTCTTTCTCTCTCTCCTTGCTTCATATACTGCCCCATCTCCCCAGGCTCATGGCCCACACAGCCCCTCCCTGTCTCCTGCAGCTGTCCCCTTCTCTCCATCGCCAGCCCCTGGTCCCCTCATCCTCCCTGGCTACAACCCCAGGCCCCAAATCTGTCATTTCAGCCAGAAGCACCGCACTTCACAAAGCAGGGACTCCCAGAGCTCCGAGGGACTCAAACACCTACTGGTCCAGCACCCAGTCCTCCTCTAGATCGGGACACCGAGGCCCAGAGGGAGGAACTGACTTGCTTAAAGAGACATTGCAATGCTGGGATGTTGGATAAACTTGCTTTGGGGCCCTGGGGCTCTGGCAGGACTCGGGAGGTGGGTGGGGGAGAGCAGGGGCTCCGGAGCCTGGCTTTCCGCTGTGGCTCCCCTGCTCCGAGGCTCAGGTTTCTCAACCACGAAATGGAGAGGATTTGGCAAACGTTTAGCACGGGCCCTGGAATGCGGAGGGTGGTGGTGAGGGGCAGGCGCCCTGCAGCCAGACTGCCTGGTTTGAATCACAGCTGCACGACTTGGGCTGCTTGCTCAGCCTCTCTGTGCCTCGGTTTCCCTGTCTATGTCATGGGGGTAACCACAGTACCTACGTCCTGGGGTTGTGGTGAGGGGGAAAAGCATCTATATGTGTAAAATGCTTAGGAATGCTTATAAAAGTGTTGCTGATCATCACTGAGATGTTTAATAAATGGTAGCTAAAAAAAAAAAACCCACCAAAAACAGAAAAAAAGATGCTAACCCGGCGGTTCTCAACCTGTGGGTCGAGACCCCCAAGGGTTGAACGGCCCTTTCACAGGGATCGCCTAACTACATCCTGCATATCAGATATTTACATTACAATTCATAACAGTAGCAACATTACAGTTATGAAGTAGCAACAAAAATAATTTTATGGTTGGGTCACAACATGAGGAGCTGTATTGAAGGGTCGCGGCATGAGGAAGGTTGAGAACCACTGTGCTAACCGCAAGGAAACCAAAATCAATTCCTTCGCCCCATCTCCACACCCCCACACACTTTGTAAGTCAGGCTGGAGGGCAACTTTGAGATTAGTCTGTCCTTCCCACCAACCCTGCAGCTGAGTCAATGAGGCCCAGAGCGGGGACTTGCTCACCTGAGGTCTCTCAGGAGCTCGTGGCAACGCTAGAACTTGGACCCAGGCTCCGAGCTCCCATCCAGCACTCTTCCCCCAGACCTCCTCATTCATCTGCTCCCCCTGCACACCCACCCTGGCACCCACCCTCCTCCAGACCTCCCAGCTCTTCTCTGGCAGGCACTGTCCCCCTCATCCTGTGGCCAGGGCCCTCTCCCTCTCACCCAGTCCCCATCCTTGCCATTGGGTGTGGCAGAACGAAGTGCAATGGAAATACGGAGATCGGGCAGCTGATATTTTAAAGCAGCGGTTCTCAACCTGTGGGTCTCGACCCTTTCACAGGGGTCGCCTAAGACCATCGGAAAACACATATATAATTACATATTGTTTTGTGATTCATCACTATGCTTTAATTATGTTCACTTTGTAACAATGACATTGGGGGTCACCACAACACGAGGAGCTGTACTAAAGGGTCGCGGCAGGAGGAAGGTTGAGAACCACTGTAAAACGGCAGGATCCTCCCTGGCACTTGGGTACTCGTTGCATTTCTGTGTTGAGGGTGAAGAGTTGGAGGCAGGGTAAACAGACCCACAGGGGGGACAGGAGTGAAGGCAGAAGAGATGGGGAGGAGGGAGCAAATCTGAGTGGGGAGCAGAAGGCAGGGGAAAGTGAGGCAGGGCTGGTTTCTAGGGACTACAAGGCGGGGCTGGACGTAGAGAGTATTCTAGGAAAGATGCCCTCACCTACAAGCACACACACAGCTTCCAGGGCCCCCCGTCCCAGGCGGAGAGAGGGGCTGAATTAGTCTCAGAGACAGGTGAGCCCGGGGCCTTCTTTGCAGAGAAGAGGCTCGGTTTCCCTCATCTGAGCTCCGAGAAAAACCCCAGGAGGGGAGGGAAAGGGGTGAGGCCTCTCCTCCAACTCAAAAGGTCGACCCTGTCAGCCTGCCCAGTCCTCACCCCTGGGAACAAATGTCCCAGAGGTGCAGCAGGCAGGCGCAGCCTCATTACCCGTAACCCCACCGCTACCCCTGCACTGTCTGTCTTGGGCCCAGAAGGAGACCCAGACCTGGGATCCGCAGCCCCCAGCTCGCCAGCCAGAGCAGCCCTAGACTAACGCAAGGCAACCGATCCCGTCGGAAATCAGAAATGGCCCTGACCGGTTTGGCTCAGTGGATAGAGCGTCAGCCTGCGAACTGAAGGGTCCCCAGTTCAATTCCGGTCAAGGGCATGTACCTGGGTTGCAGGCACATCCCCAGTAGGGCATGTGCAGGAGGCAGCTGATCGATGTTTCTCTCTCATCGATGTTTCTAACTCTCTATCCCTCTCCCTTCCTATCTGCAAAAAATCAATAAAATATATTTTTAAAAAAAGAAGAAGAAATGAGGGGACGTGAAGGTTCCCACAGCTCCTCTGCGTGTGAGCATGCAGCCCGATTCGGACTTCTCTGCTGCTGTCAGTCCCTCCCACGTTTATTTTGAGAACAACTATAACCTTATTTTTATCTATTGTTCATTAACCCCAAGGAATTCACTTGCTGGGCTGTTTCCTGTGTCACAGTGACCGCTACAAAGTCTGGCCTCCGCGTTCCCGTCCCTATGTAAATAAACATCTCCCACACGCGGGAGCGTGGCGCAGGGCGGGGGTCAGGCTTTGCCCTGCTCTGACCAGCTCCGCTCCCTGATGGCGCAATAGGTCCCGAGGTCAGACCTCTGCGCCCTGGGTCCTGGCAAGGAGGCCGGTGAGGAAACAGGACTTGCGTCTTCTCGTGCCTGTGTCAGAGCTTGCTTCGGCCAGAACAGTTTATATTTGTTCTAAGTAAATAGCTGACGTGTGGTTCGGCAGATG